AACTAAAATCTTATTTTCTCAAATTCAACAGGCTGCCGCCAATCAGATCATAGTGTGCCAAGCAACAATACAGAAACAGAAGCGAAAGGAGAAGCAGCTGTACGCCAACATGTTCGACAAGTTTGCCAAGCACGACTCGGAGGTAACAGGTTGGCGGAATAACCCACTGCCATGCTGTCATCATTCATTCATTTTAGATAGTTTTTTTTTTTATAGAATAAGGGATAAACGAGCACAGTCCACCTGATGGTTAGTGGATGCTGTGGCCCGTAGACTTCTACATCTATCCTCGATTAAGAATCAAAATGCATATGTGTTATCACCCCTGAGGACTATAATAAATGCCTCGTTGCCAGTAAAAATGATCTCTGATTCTCTACACTTGCCATGGAAACAATGCTGTGAGAGAGAGCTTGGTTTTTCCCCGGTCGTGCCGATTCATTCGTGCTACAACCATAATATTGCTGCAGCATGGCTCTACCACGTATAGCATGTTTCGCTTAGTCTGCACTAATATATTTTGTTTTGTGGATTTTATATAATTAACAATTAATTAATTAATAAATAATTGACCATTAATTATGTCCTTCAGACCGAAATTGGTCACGATGGCCAGTTTCAACGAGGCTGCTGCTATGAGAATTTCTTGACAGAATAACAAACTGCTTTTGGCTCCTACCAGATTCGAATCCGGGATCACGCGATCAGCAGTCGTCCTTACAACCAATAGACCAACGTTGTAGTTACCCCTAGAGACCCATTATTCAGACTACGCTAAACCAGGTCACTTCACCATCATCATCATTGCAGTCCTTCACAAGTCCACTGCTGAACATAGGCCTCCCCCAAGGAGTGCCACTAAGCACGTTTCTGAGCCACCTGTATCCATCGACTTCCATGTCGTCACTACATCTAGTGGGGGATCGCCCTACACTTCGCCTGCTGGTACGGGACTGCTACTCGAGAACCTTTTTTCCTAATCGGTTGTCGGTTCTTCGAGCTATATGGCGGGCCCATTGCCTCTTCAGCTTAGTAATCCATTGGACTATGTCGGTTACTCTGGTTCTACTGCGAATATCCACAATTCTAAGTTTATCATGCCTAGAAACCCCAAGCATAGCCTTGAGCTTCCTCATATGGCCAACAGTGAAGGACCACGTCGATAAGTCATCACTGGCAACACGCACTGGTTGTACAATCTTGTGTTAAAATTTTGAGGTATACCTGACGAGAAGATGTTTCCTAATCTCCCGAACGCTGTCCAGCCAATTTTAATCTCTCCATTGACCTGTTGGTCGAAGTTGGACTTACCTAGTCGGACTCTCTGTCCCAGGTAAACATACTCGTCAACAACTTATAGCTTAGTGCTCCTAACAACTACCGGCACAGGTGTGACATGAACGTTACAAATGGTTTTTGTTTTGTCCATGTTTATTTTAAGACCTATCTGTTGAGAGACACTATAGAGGTTATTGAATAGTGCACATAGTGCTTAGGTCCCACAGCGATTCTGTCATAAGAGTGAGTGATATTACTCACCTTTGATCTTAATACCGTATCCTTTCCAGTCCAATAGCTTGATAACATCTTCCAATGCAGCGTTGAAGAGTTTCGGGGATATAACGTCACTCTCTCTTACACCTCTCTGCAGTTGGATAGGTTTCGTACTCTGGTTCTGTACTCAGATAGCCATCGTAGCCCTACTGTATAAACATTCTATATACTCGTCAGTCGTCAATAATTTGTCTTAATAATTTGCCTTGTGTAAATTGTCCGTTATAGGTGGGTATGAGTGTTTTAAAAATTGATTAAGGGATTATATTTAGGGATTATCTTAAAATATACACACTTGAGTATCGATTGATATGGGGAACCCACTAATTCTGGCTTTATTTATTAAATACTAAATACAAGATTTTAAAAATAACTGAACTGACAAATGGCATATTCACGATGTTTCCTTTCACCACCAAACACTTTGTAAATTAACACTTAAAATTACGATTAACAAGATCATTGGTGCTGGCCCTGAGAATTCAAGATAACCTTGTACTTACTATATGATATAATACAGCAATGAAGTATGCTGAAGTATTGTAGAATTATATTATTTAGCATTTTGAAGATGACTTTTGCTATAAGGCTCCTTAGGCTTGGGCAAAAAATATCGTTAATCGATATTTTCTCACAAAAATATCGATATTTTTAATCGCGATATATTGACATTTATTTTAAAGTATCGAATTCGTATCAATTTCGATATATTTCAAAATGTTGTGACGAAACATGAAGCAACAAAAGCATTCATGTACGGTTGTCATATTTTTTTCGTCGTCCAACCGCCAGTAATTAATTTTTAGGCCTTATTCTAGTACATCATGCAAATGATGACGATATATCGATATTTATAAATACTGTTTAAAACTATCCATACAATATATATCGATATATTTTTTTCACTTGCTTATCCCTAAGTCCCCTCAATTGAGAAAGGACCACACGCACATAATACCAGCGTAAAATAGCAGGATAATGCTGCTGTGTTTAGTATGGTGTGTCCTAAACTGAAGACCCTTTCTACTGGTAACGAGGCATTCTATCTTAGGTCTCAGGGATGACAACGCATCTGCATGTTGATTCATAATCAAGGATGGAAAAAAAATACAAAAAAAGATGGATGTAGATGTCAATAGGCAACGGCATCCACTCATCAGGTGTTAAATAAATTATCATTAGTCATTTTAGTGCTTCTTATACTGAACGAGATATCTTGCCTGTATTTTTTTTTAAATTGTACTATACTTTTACCATTTACAGATTGAGAAGATCAGAGCTAAAGCACAAGTAGACGTGATAGGTGAAAAGGTGGGGGAGTGGGGAGTGGGAGAGGGAGAGTGGACCGACCAACAGCGGGACAGGAAACCAACGGAGTTTGAAAAAGAAAATCCGAATATACTTATGTTAGACAAGGATGGACAGTTTAAAAACATGTGAATGCATTCCGTCAAGCATGTTGGCTACAGGCATTGCATCGATTATTCGATGTTTAATCCACAGAGCACAGGATATCTCTAAGACAAGAACTGTGGCTAAAAAGTAAGAATTGCTTACATTTGTTAACATATTATGTTGTCCTTTGAGGATGGGAACATATTTAATCTATAGTTTTATGTCTTTGAAATACATTTTATTTTATTGTAATTTGAAGTTAAAATATTTTATAAATTACTTTCCTCGTGAATGTCACACATCTCTTATTAATACACATTCCATTAAGGAATAGATCCATTATATTAGAGGCAAATTTCATAATTCTTAAAAGCATGTTTTTGTCTTAGAGCCTCCATCAGACAACAGTTTGAGAAACACTGTCACTATCAACTCAATGGAAATTATGTGGGCACCAAAATATAGTTATTTGTTTACACTTTGTAGCTTTTACACGCTTATTAAAATAACAGATGTATAGTATACATTATAGCAATGAAATTGTTTATTGTTTTGTTTTTATTTTAGAGTAACAATGAATTACTTAAATATTTGATTTTTAAACTGTGTTCTACAACAAGAATGAAATCTTTGTGTAAGTCCTATCTGTATATATTTTTTTAAAATTATAAACAGCATTCGTTGTATGGTTTAACGTGTAAATGATGTACAATATTCAAATAAATTTTTCACAAGTTGCTGTTTTTAGTATAAGTCAACATACCATATGACAAGATGGTAAATTATATTGAATTCTCTTTATTAACATATTTGAGTATGTTCAATTTAACTGTCCATAGGGTGTGGTTAGCTTGTTCCCTACACATTTATATTTTTATGATATTTAGAATATATAAAAATTAAAAATTGATTAGTCCGCCCTTTACTGCGGTAGTCATATTAGATGAGTTAATATTTTCTAAGCAATATTCACTTTGTGCCTTGAGCAAACCTAAGAATGCACTTGTAAATAATATGCATTTTTCTTTTAGAATTAGCACACATTTCGTTGCAATATTAAATTACTCAAAGCAAATAAGAAGCCATAGTGTTTCTCTAATCTTCATGTCCCACTCCATACATTTTTCATCGTATTTTATATTTGTATCCATATCATTACTTAATCTTTAAGGTTTGGGGATTGTATTTCGTTCATACATAAAATATTTTAATATCTGTGCTCTATCAGTGTATCTTATCAAACCAATATAATTAGTACAAATATTTTAGTAATGAAAAGCAGTAGTATACAATAAGTGATTGTGTTCACACGCTAGTTTCATTTTAGGATAATTGTTTCTTTGGATGTAAAGATTATTTTCGGTTATGTGCAATTTCAAATATGGTCAATGAATTTCAATCAATAAATTTTGTTTTAACAGGTTTATTTTGTATTTTATTGCATTTATCCGTTTTCTCTCTCTGGATGAATGGCACATGAACATATATTTTTATTTACACATACTTATTCTACTACGGTTATATTTTTTTTCATTAAAATATAAAAAATATACCGCCGTTATCAGATACCTAGCAAACAAATTTAACGAACATAAAAGGTAAAAAAAAAAACATTCAGGCATACAATCCTTCTTATATTGTTCGTGAGAAAAAAAACAATAAAATCTGTCCAGTTTGGAGGAGAAAACGGGAATATCATGATTTCGTCAAGTTTTCATGGTAAATGTTCTTAAAATCGGTTCAGCCGTTTAGGAGTTCAGTGACAAACACGTACAGAAGAATTATATATAGGTGCAGGCAGATAATGTTGGGAAAAATTAGAATAAAAAAAATTCATCGAAAATAGACTTTATTACTGAAAACTTTTACAAAAAAATCGTTGAGATCAAATTATTACTAATAAAATAATGTCATTCAAGAAATATATTTACACTACAAGTATTAAACTTAAGTAAAACAAGTTATTTGTACAATTTTGTAATTCATAAAATGTATTCATGAAATTAACTTTTTAAAATTACACTTAAAAGATATTTTTAATTTGACTGGGGTTAGACGTCTTCGTCAGAGTCCGTGTTGGTGAGCGGAGGGCAGTTTGGGTTCGCGAAGGCTGTGAGCACTTCGAAGTGCATGTGTAGAGAATGCGGAGCGTCGGGCTGATCGTGTAGATAGCGCTTCACCTAATTAAACAATCATTTCATCATTACTTTGAGGAATGCTTATCCACTAGATATAGAAACTTTTTATTCAATATAGATTATAAATAATACTTATTGAAAGTCACTTGGATGTCCTAAGAGGCGACAGAGGAAAACAAATCAGGAGAAAAGAACAGTGTCTTCCTAATAATGACTAAAAATAAAAAAAAACTGCGGTTGCCAACCCCCTTTCCAACAAGCGTGGCAACTATGGCAAATATTTCCACCTATGAGGCTATTAATGGGGGACGCCTATGTTCAACAGTGGACTTAGGCTGTAACGGTAACGGAAAGTCACTGTAATGTATGATTTATAGCCTGTTCGCGCTAAGATGGTCTTAGTACACCCGGAGGCGCACTTATTATTTTGCTTTTGTTTATTATTTTTAGCGAGTTTGCCAAATAAATGTTTTTCTATTCTAAGAATAAATAAAATAGAATACTATTTTATTCTTATAGTTATTGTAATAAAATTACGAATATAAATAATAAACAGAAGTTAGGTAACAAAGAAACTTTCATTACGACGCTTCCGTTTTAAAATGCCAAATTCTCCTGCGGGTGTACGCCGCACGCGGCGACTTTTGATATCGCGGCGGTACTTTTGACAAGATGCGGCACTTGCTAAGGCGACAGTATCTAAGCGAACAGACTATACCGCTGGTTCGGAAAATACTTATATTCTCCAAAGAAAAAGCAAGAAACCCTGCAGTTTTTTTTTGAAGGAACAGTTTATAACCATATAAGTGACACAATTAACAACACAACAAATTAGAAATAGCTTGTAGCAATCACCTCCTCCCCAGGGGTTGTTATCATCCATAAATTTCTTAAAATTATAATAACCCTTTTTATACAATCTAGCCACAGACTACCACAACAAGAGTCCTTATCCAGAGATAATATAAAAGAGCAAGGCCGAATTTGAAGGCTGAGAGTCCTTTAGATTTTATAGTGTGTCAAGAACTTTACTTTTGAAAAATAAGTGCTTATCAGAGTAGTTAATAGCTATACCTTCATGGGGCCATTTCAACGAATACCTTGTTTTGTGTTTTGGCTACTTTTATTTTGAATAAGCTATGTATTAAGAATAATATGATAGGAGAGGGGGTATATAATATGAAAAGAGCATGCGGCTCACCGGATGACTACCGCCGCCCATGAACAACTGCAACACCAGGGGAATGGCAGATGCGTGTTGCCGGTCTTTTAAAAAGGAGTAGGCTCTTTTCTTGAAGGTCCTTAAGTCGTATCGGTCCGGAAAAATCGCTGATGGTAATCGATTCCACAAGGAAGTTGTGCGAGGAAGAAAACATCTAAATCGCGCAGCAGTGGACCGCCACTCATCCAGATGGTGTGTAAGGTATCGGGAGTTCTGCCACGATGTGCGTTCGTGAAATTTGGCGGCTGGGATTAATCCGAACAATTCCTCAGAGTACTCGTGGTAAATGCGAAAGAAAATGCAAAGGGATGCAAAATCTCTTCGCAGCGCCAATGAATCGAGCCGATCGCAAAAGACTCGGTCGTCGACGATTCGAGCCGCTCTGCGCTGGATGCGATCAAGTGGAAGGAGCTCGCAATGGGGTGCCCCGGCCAAGAGATGGAAAAAGTATTCCATGTGAGGCCGAACCTGCGCCTTGTAAAGTTGCAAGCGTTGTGCCGGCATGAAATACAGTCCCGCTCTGCTCAGCACGCCAAACTTTTTCTAAGCCAATTTGGCCTTCTCTTCCAAGTGACCACGAAACTGCACGTCACTCGATATGTCGACGCCGAGAATTCCGATACTGGCTGAGGCAAGAAGGGGAGTGCCTTGAAACTGAGGAGATACGACAAAGAGGTTCTTTTTAGCGATAAACGCGCAAACTTGTGTCTTCCAAGGATTAAACTGGACTAGATTTAGTCGCCCCCAATTCGAGACTTTGTTCAGCAAAGACTCGACTTCAGACACAAGTTTGTTCCTGTACTCAGCAACGTTTTCCCGAAAAATATTGCCACGGCCGGTGTATAGAGCATCACCAGTGCTGTCATCCGCATAGCAATGAATGTTACCAGTTTGCAACACATCATGGATATGCAAACAGCGTTGGCGATAGCACACAGCCTTGTGGAACACCAACGTTAATAGGCTTGTAGTCGGAGCATGCACCGTCTACAACGACCTTGATGCTCCGATCTGTAAGGAAGCTGGTGATCCAATTGCACAATTTTTCGGGAAGCCCATAGGAAGGGAGCTTCGAAAGAAGCGCTTTGTGCCAAACCCGATCGAAGGCCTAACTAACAGCCAACGCCACCCCCTTGGACTCTACTACCTCCAGACCAGAAGATCACCAGCTGATCGACCCCGATGAAAACCGTATTGGCGGTCACTAATCAGCTGGTGATCCTCAAGGTACCGCATGAGCTGGCAGTTAATAATGGATTCCATTATTTTGGAGAACAAGGAGGTGATGGCGATAGGCCTATAGTTAGACGGGTCTGAGCGGTCGAGCGGCGCTTTTTTTTTTTGTTGTGGCAACCCTGGTTATAAGTTGTAAAAGTAATTGGTCCCGATAAATTTTAATAATTTAAATATTGTAAATTCACCATATCCACCTCAATTTTATGTTATAGCTAATAATTACTGCCGTTTTGTATTTAATGTTTAAGAAAGTTGGTACATAAATATTATAACAACAATTTGGTGTTGGAACAAAAAGTGACAGGTAACGAACATTGTTTTAAAAATTATTGTAATCCTTATTTCATATCATTCCTTTTATAAATTAAAGATTTATTCTATTACTCGGGTTATTACATTCTTTGCGGGTTTCTTTTCGAATTGTTTTAACGATAATTTGATTTGAGACTTGTAAATAGAAAAAAAAACAACAACTTTACATTAGCTTACTCTGCTCCTTCTATTTTCGATCTTTGTTTTCTTTTATTATTTATAATAAATAGTAAAATGAATACTCGCAACGCCAAGACGCGCCAGATGGAGAACCAACTCCAGCTTGCGCTCCAAGAACTTAAGGCGTCCAGGGAGCAGTGTGAACTGTTGCTTAAGGAAAGGGATGATAATGAAAGGGAAATAGTTAGCATAATTGCCAAAAATACACAATTGAAATGTGATATGGTTAAGCTACATACAGAATACACAAGTGTTATAAAAGAAAGAGATCAGCTACAGGGAACGGTTAATGAGTTTGATCAATGCAACAAGGAATATGAGGAAGCTCTCAGGTTAATTGCTGCATTGAAGTTACAGTTGAATGAGGCTAATGAGCAAATAACACAATTTAAAACATATATAGATAACCTTAAAGCCTCCCAGACTCAAAGCCTGTTCTCTGAGCTTGTGCAATGTGATACTTCAAGAATGTTACAGCAATCTGCAACAATAGACTTGACTGGTGACGACTCTTCCACTTCAGGAAATACAGTAAGGATTAATTGCAGTAAAACCAAATTGAAGAAGTATATAAAAGTTAATAAATACATAAGGAAAGTACAAAAATTAATAAGAAATAAGATTAATACCAAAAATTATGTTAATGTATGTAAAGAAAAGCAAGCATTGTTATATGAACTTAAGTTGTATTCAATTGAGGTGGATAACATAAAAAAATGTTATGAGACTGAAATAGAGTGCCTTAAATCAGAAATATTGTCACTTATGAACTCCCTTCAAACTGTGTCCAATAAATATAAATCAGCCCAAAATGAAATAAAAGAACACATATTGGCTATGGATAATCTGGTAAAGACTTGTAAATATAATGAGGAGCGGTTTGACTCCTTAATTAAATATCAATGTGAGTGTCAGCGCTCAATGCCAGATTCTTCAAAGTCAGTGTGTGCTGATAATATTATACCACCACAAAAACTCTATGACAGTGCCATAGCAGAGGATATTAAAATAATAAATAACTCAAATATTACTAAAAATAATATAATTGTTTATAGCGATGACATGGGAAAAAATCTAGGCATAACTTTAAATAACTCTTTAAAGGGACAAAAAGTTACAAATTGCTGCATGCCTGGAGCATCTTTTAGTGACATCCTAAATAAAATTATTGTTACTAAATTTTGCCCAAATAGTACAATAATAATTTTTGTTGGTAGAAGAGGCAGTGTCAACAACAAACAGTTATTAAGATATATTGAACAACTTAATAACTTAAATGTACACAAAATTGTCTTGTTCACACTGCCTTATATACAGGGATTGCCACAAGAAAATAATTTAAGACATAATTTAAATATACAAATGCATAATTTAATATCTAATAATAATTTAAATTTGACATATAATTCTAATGATAATAATCATAAATTTCATGTAATTGACATAAATAATTTAATAAAAAAGTTTTGGACAAAAGATAGGTATTACCTATCCAAATATAATTTAAGACTGATAGCAAATGTGCTATCTTATTATTTACTTTTTAACTCAGCCAAGTTTTTGGCTACCAAGACTGCTTTTATTGAGCAAAATCATTTGACATTTAATTTGGAATCAGTTCCAACTAATTTAAATTAGTGAATGTGACAATAGAGGCAATCTCTAGCAATAATAAGAGTTTAATTAATTTTGAATACAGCCCACAAATAAGTAATAAAAATTGTTTACACCTGGTGCATCAAAATATACAAGGCATGTTGGGCAAAGAATTGGAAGTTGAATTGTTTTTAAATAGTAACAATATACACATCCTTTGTATTACTGAACATTGGCTAAAAGATTATAATTTCATGTTTAATTTCAGAAATCACCAGGTGGTCAGTTCCTTCAATAGAGAAAAAAGTTTACGTGGTGGCTCCTTAATATTAGCAGATAAATCATTATTATATAAAGAACGTAAGGATATTGTGAGCCTCTCTGTTGAACGAACTGTAGAAATGGCTTGTGTCGAGCTCGAGCATCTCATTGTTGTAAGTGTTTACAGACCCCCATGTGCTACTTATGACCATTTTGAAAGGATTGTGGAAGAAGT